CCTGCCTCATGTGGCCGCCTGCCCCTGGCGGGACCGCTCACCCGCGTCCCCAGCGACCGGAGTCCGCTCCTCCGCCCCCGAGACTGGCGCGTTTCCGCGGGGCGGACTCGGCTGGTCGTCTCTCTGGTTGCCGGCGAAGAAAGCTTCCCGGGTCTGGCGGGAGGCGCTGCTCTCGGAGTAGTCGGGCCTACGAAGGGCGCGTTTTAAAACTGTTGTTCCACGTTGCTCTAGAACAATGCCAATAACATTGAGGGAAAGTGTCCCCCAGTAACATGAGTTCTGCCTCCAGCTTAAGCGAACAGCGCATGTAGATTAATTTCACAGGCACAGCGCTCAGCTTACTAGCTGTGTGACTGGGCAAGTGTGGCGGGCAGAACAATAGCCCCTCAGATTTGTCCGTATCCTACTCCCTGGAATTTGTGCATATGTTAGGTTACGTGGCAAAGGAGAATTAGGATTGCAGATAGAATTAAGGTGCTAACCAGCTAACTTTAAGATATGAAGATTATTTTAGATTATCCTGTGGGTGATAAGAGTAGGGTCTCTGGAGTATAACGTTCCAAATAGTCAGTATTTGCAACATCTGCACTGCTTGCTTTCTTTGTTCGCAATAAAAAAGACTGGTTTCAATTTAAAAAACAAAAACAAAACAGAACTACCTCACACGCCTATACTCAGAATGCTGCTCCAGCTTCAGTTTCCATGAAGTACTGCTCCCGCAGATTGAGCACCAGGCGCAGACCTCAGCCACCTTATATTCATGACAGCATCGGGAGAAGGTGATAAACGTGTCCGACTCTTTTCTTTCCCCCCCAATAGGGACAGTCATGAAAGAGACTCCTTCCCTTGTTCCATCATTGTATTAGCTTGCTAGGGCTGCCATAACAAAGTACCACAAACTGGGTGGCTTAAACGACAGGAATTTATTGTCTCATAGTTCTGGAGGCTAGGAGTCCAAAATAAAGGTGTCAGCAGGATTGGTTCTTTCTGAGGATGGAGGGAGGGACCTGTTCACGCCTCTCTCTTTGGCTTGTGGAATGCCGTCTTTTCCCTGTGGAATGCCGTCTTTTCCCTGTGTAATGCCGTCTTTTGCCTGTGTCTCTTCACATCATTTTCCCTGTCATATTGGATTAGGCCAACCCTAAACCGATCATCTTAATTAATGATCATCATCTTGATTAATCACAACTGCAACAATAAACCCTATTTCCTAATAAGGTCACATTCTGAGGTACTGGGCGTTAAGTTTCCAACATATCTTTTTGGGGGTGACACAATTCAACCCATAACAATCAGCAAGCATAGACAGGTGAGGATGGGGAAGAGGGTATAGTGAGAACAGATCTGGCCCCTTTTCTCTACAGCTGTTGCCAAGCTGTGGATCCCAGCCAGGGGAGCTTCTGAACTGGGTAGTGATTGGAAATAATAAAATACTATTATTATAGATAACATATACAAGTTACTAGGGGCTAGGCACTGTTTTAAGTGAGTTAATAGATGTAAAGTGCTTAAGATAGGACTAGATAAGTGTTAGCTATTAACTAATTTAATTTTCAAAACAACCCTTAAAGTAAATACAATTATTATCTCTGAGGCGCAGAGAGGTTAAGTTATTTGCCTCAGGTCCCACAGCTAATAAGTGGTAGAACTAGAATTTGAACCCAGGCAGTATGGCTCCAGAGTCTGACTCTTACCACCACACTGCAATAATGTTAGAGATGTGGCAATGGTAAACAGTGTCCAAAGCTCACCAAGTTACAAAGTCTGATGAGGGCAGTTGGATTTAGCAGCAGGAGGTCATGGGCAATCTTGAAGAGAGTAGTTTCAATGATGTGATGAGTGAGAAACCAGATTGCTGTAGTTGAGGTGGGATGGTCAGAAGAATCAAGAAGTGTAGGATACTTTCAAGAATCTTAGCCAAGAAGGCAAGGAGAGAGGGTGATAAGGATGGGTAGAGGGAAGCACAAGATGATGAGAGTGTTTTATTAATGGTGAAATTGTAGATATAGTTATACCATGAGGGATAAGAAACCAATGGAAGGAAAGAAAGGCTGAAGGTACTAGAGAGAGAGGGGGACCAGGAAGATCGAGTTGAGACTGAAGGGATGGCTTTTAGTGCCCAGTAAAAGGATTAGCCTTGGCTAGATTAGCAACAGACAGATTTGCCTCCGAGACCAGAGGAGGAAATAAGGATGTGTATGGATGTAGACAATATTAGAGAAGGAGAGGGAATCTTGAGAGCCTCAATTTTCTCTACAAAATAGAAAATTAAATCATCTGTAGAGTATGGGTGTTGGGACAAAAATCTTGAAGAGGAAAGTTTATTTTTTAATCAAGATTTCTATATTTGTTTATTACTTATATACAGTAAAATTCTGAGTAGTGAAGTTTTGATTATTGTTGTTAGAATACGAGAGGAAGCTAATGGGGACAAAGGCTATCGAGCTGCTCAGAGGTGATGCCAATCCAGTTATGTAATTGTCTCTCGTAGTGAGAAGTTTGGATTAATCTAGAATTGAGATTATGCAGGTAAGCAAAGCAGAAGTACACGGGGGTGAGTGAGTAAAGGGTGCTGACGTAAGGACGGCTGAAGTGACACACCTTGTCATCTAGGCTGAATATCCCTGTGAAGGAAGTGAAGCCTAGACTGGTGCTATCCCATATGTAGCCACTAGAAATGTGTGGTTATTGAGCACTTGAAAAGTGGCTAGTGCAAATAAAAATGTGCTGTATAAAATACGCACAGGATTTTAGACTTTGTACAAAAAAAAGTAAAATATTCCATTAATAATTTTGTATGTCGATTAATTTATTAACTTAATTAACAATAAATTATTAACTTACTAATTTTGTATATTGCTGAACTGATATTTTGACTATATTGGGTTAAATAAATATATTATGAAAATTAATTGTAACTGTTTCTTTTTACTTTTTTAAACCATAGCTACTAGAATGTTTTAAATTACATATGTAGCTTGCAATATATTTCTATTTCTAGTGCTGGTCTAGAAGGTCACCATGGGGGAAAGGGAGCATTTGACGAACTAGAGGTCTGAATGAAGTCACAGAACAAGAACAGAGGGAGCAAGGGAGAAAGGAAGTTGGCAGAGAGCAGTTGTGAAGAGAACGGGACCACAAAGTCAAGATTTCAGGAGTGGAGCAGGTCTTAGCAATGCCCAAGTCTACGCTGGGGCCTAGGAATCAGTTGCTGAAGTAGGAGACCAAGTTCACTGGAGTGAGTGGTGAGGGAGTGACTGAGAAGCCTTTGGATGGCATTAACACGGAGAGAGGAGATGGTAATCTAGGTTAGGGTTTCTCAACCTCAGCACTGTTGACGGTTTAGGCTGGATAATTCTTTGTTAAGGGAGGGGGGCGAGGTTGTCCTGTGCTTTGTAGGTTGTTCAGCAGTATCTCTGGCCTCTACCCACTAGATGCCAGCAGTATCCCCCGCCCTCAGTCATGACAACTAAAACACTCTCCAGACACTGAAAAGGTCCAAGGGTGGGGGGTTATTGCAAAATTGCCCCTGGTTGAGAACCACCAATCTAACTGGATGCTCTGAGCCTTAAAAGACCAAAGTGGAAAAGTAACTGTCTTTATGTGATAATAACATGGCAGGGAATTGCAGGCATCACCTCTCAGCTTTGCAGTAGATGGTGTACGATGAGCAGGTAGGAACAGATTAGAGAGCCAGGTTTCTGTCCTGATAAGCCATGTAGATACAACAAATATTTTTAAAATATTAAACTGATGTGATGCCCAATGATCTTTGAATCTCAAAGTTAATTTTCCTGAGTTCCTAATAAGATAATAGTTTCAAATTCCAGGTCTTGTTGATAGAGAAAAAAAGATTGTCTTAATTTTATGAGCTCCCCCTTCCCTTATGTATCAAGTGAGTTAGGTCTTAATATAGTTTCACTAGAAGCCATGTATATAGAAATGAGGGATGCTATAAGGGCAGTTTCAAGCAGGCATGAAACTGCTCTGCCTCTGAAACGTTGATGAAAAGGAAGAGAATAAGTTGGTCCTGAGAATCTGCTCCACTTTGCATCAGCTGGGGCAGCCTAGAGGCCGGGAGCTGCAGTCATCTGAGAGCTCGCTCATTCACGTCTGGCACTTGGGCTGGGAAGACTCAAACAGCTGGGGGCTGAACAGCTGGGGCTCCTCACGCTTCTGTGGTTAACTCCTCGGAGCTGAAAACCCCATCCCACCCCCCACATCCCCACAGTGGTTGGAGTTACATATTATATTTTTATTTTTTTAGTGGGTATCCTTATGTTTTTAAAGGTAAGGGTATATACTGTTTTGAAGTATAATTTACACATAATAAAATTCACCCATTTTAAGTGTACACCTCAGTGAGTTTTGGCAAATGTATAGCTGTGTAGCCACAATTAAGATATAGAACATTTCCATTACCCAAAAAGTTCCGTCATGTCCTTTCGCAGTCAGTCCCTTCTCCCAACCCCTGGCCCCAGGTAACCACTGATCTGTTTTGTCAATACAATTTTATCTTTTCCAGAGTTTCACATAAATGGAATTATATGTATGTAATTTTTTGTCTGGCTTCTTTTACTTGATGTGTTTTTGAGATTCATCTGTAGTGTTGTGTTTATCAGTTTGCTCCTTTTTCTTAACTTCCGTTTCTTTTTGCTTGATTTCCACTGTGTGGATAAAGCATAACAATGTTTTTTCATTCACTAGTTGATGGACTTTTAGGTTGTTTCCAGTTTTTGGCTAACATGAACAGACTATTATGAATGTCTTTGTGTACAATCTTTCTGGGGGTATATTTTCATTTCTCCTGGATACCTAGGAATGGAATTGCTGGGTCTTACTCTTACATTTTATATCTTTGATATTTAAACCCCTAGTACTTAATAGACCAAGAATAAACATGAATTTTTGTAACCTGCTCCCAAACATGATGTGCTTGTTAGCTAATTAAATTAGCTAGAATTAAAGCTAATTCTCTACTTTGTCTTCAACACCTCTCCTGTTGAAATCGTTGTTTTCATTTCATGTAATTAATGTTTTGTAATCTACAATTATGTAGACTTCACTTTATTTTGATTCGGTGTCCCTAACAATTCTTTTAAGTCTTAGATTTACTTTCTATTTCATTGGAATACTTTACAAATATTTTCAGATAAGTTCATGAGCAATAACCTGAAGCCTTGCATGTTTGAAAATGTTATTTCGCCCTCAAACTTGAATAACTTGGGTATAGAATTTAGAATTCTAGCTTCACCATCCATTTTCTTACAGAATTTCGAAGTTCTCAGATGTGCTAACTGGTGTTGCGCTTGTACCCACAGAGGTTGAACCAGTCCTGCTGCTACTAAGAGCTCCTGCAGTCTGCCTCCACCACACTCTTCCGAGTTAAAGATGCCTTTATAAAAAGTATCTTGCTGAAGAAAGCCCTCCCTGTTCTAAGGAAAAAATTTTACGTTTCCTTCTAATATATTTAAATTTAACCATTTATTCTACCTGGAATTTATGTTTGCAAGTAGTGTAGAGATTGAAATTTCTTGTTCTCAAAATGGAGAGCTGACTCACAGCTATTCTTTTCTCTACTATTTTGAAACGTATAATTTATCATTTACTAAACTCCCATGTAGTCTTAATTAACGTGACATTGATCTATGTCAATGAAAGTTCCTTATGACTCAGTAAATTAAAAAAAAAGCAAGTTGCAGAACCAAACATGAAGCATGGTGCCATTTATATCCAAACAAGCAAAACAAAATCCACATACCCACACACGTTTATATGCATGTATTTACGTCTGTGTATATATGTTAAATATACAGAAAAGAATTAGGAAGGTTACCATACTAATAATACATTTAAAAAGGGTAGTGGGATTGGAGTGGAGGAATTTTGCTTTATCTGTATCCAGATTTAAGAAGAATAAATTTGGATACACAACTGATAGCCTATAGAAAACCTGGGGCGGAAGTCTCTCTCTGCTTTTCCCTGGGTAGTTACCTCATTGTTCTGTTGACTGGTGACCTTTGCTCCCCAACCTTCAAATGGTCACCCAGCACCTCATATTTACATATTTCAGATCTAACTTACATAGAAAAGACTCTCAATCCTGATTCCAAATGCCTATGGAAAGGACTCTGACAGTCCAGCTTGGGTCAGGTGCCCATTCTGGCCAATCAGTCAGGGGGACAGGCAGATAACAGGGGACAAAATGACTAGAGGGGATTATTTCCACTTTACCCTTCAAAAAGACGAGGCTCAACTAATAACTTCTCCTTGGTCACATAACTTTTAAGTGAAGGTAGGAGCTGAGATTTTGAATGTAGGTCTGTTGGACTTCAAAGCTCATGCACCATACATCACATCCTTGGAACTATTTAGCTTGCATCAAACCTAGGTCAGACACATGGTAACTGTTCTTAAGCATTTGAAGAGGAGTTAGACCTATGTCTGTAAATGTTAGATCTTGGACTATTTAGAGAGAGAGAGATTTTCCCTCAGCTAAGGGAGGAGGAAAAAGAAAAACACTCTTTGAAACTTGTCTAAACATAGCACAGTTTATCTCAAGTTCTTTTTCACTGAGGTATTTCAAGCTATGCCATGTGGTTGAATGAACCATATGGTACTGCTATTATAAAGCTGCGAGTATAGGCCAACCTGAAGTTTATTTCAAAAATGGCATATTGTGCACCACTCATATAAAGTATGAAAAAAACAAACTAAAGAATTAAGGTAAAAATTAAGGTAAATTTTTAGATATGTAGATTGATAATGTTTCAAAAGGAAATACACCATTAATCATACATTTATTAAGTGTTGAAAACCTCAAGTCAAATCGCACTATAATGCATTTCAAAGGCAAAGTTCAAATTTATCCACTGTGCTTAAATTGCATTCATATTTGTTGAAATAAATGTCAGTGAAACATCGTAATGCAGATATTTTAATTTATTGTATACATATTAAGCACACAGCTTAAAAAAGAAAAATCCTATTCTCTAGAACATGAGAAGACAAATAGAACAAAGATTGGTGCTATTATACAAATGGAATGAATGAATATACACAAGATTAAGTATGTGACTTTCAACGATACTCATATTACACAGTTTTAAAACTATCTAAAATTCTTTACAATGACCAATTACTTATTTGCAACTGTAGAGCTGATAGAGGATGTATGCCATTTAAGTATTAGTTCAGAGACTTATACAACAATTTTATTGGTGGTATTTATGTCTGGGGAGAAGAGAAATGTTTACTGTATATAACTATCATGTTTCAGGGGACATGATTTAACAGTAAGTTTTTATATTATAAGGAAGAAAGAAGTTTTAAGTGTTAGTTATTTTAGAAATACTACTTAAACTAGAATGACATTTATTAATTATATATTCTTTCTATAACTCCATTCTAATAGTCTATAAACTATATCAAATGAAGCAATGGAAGTTAAAATTTTAACATTTTAGATTAGTCAAGTTACAAAAGGAACTAAAGAAAGGAACTCAGATTTAAAGTTTCGAATATCCACTAAGTTTGGCACGTTTTTTTTCTTACCATAAAGTATCTTCTCTTAGAAATGGGGTATTTAGTTAAACTATCCTCCTTAGTGACCTAGCTACAATCAAAAAGAAAGAGGCCAAGAAACCACAGATGCAGACTCACCAGCATAGATGGAAAGTGACAGAGAAGAACCACAGGCAGTCCAAGGGACACAACAGACCACAGCAGTCTGGGTAATAAGAATTAGGTGAAAAAGCAAGCTAAATTCTCTCTCTCAATATTTAAAGGGAGTTACTCTATGCATTCCAATTGTTGACTTTCATACTGAGCCAGAATCAAGGAAGGGCAAACAAGTCAGTATTCTGTTTAAAGCCAGGGATGTATATTATAAATTTTAAAAACATGGCCATGCAAAAATATAAATTTTATCTAGAACCCCTCATTTTCTGATGATGCAGCATTATTGTACTTATATTTAATGACATAATTTTTCTGTAATTTAGGACTACTAAAAGTAAAGTAAATAAGCTAATATTACGATGAAACTTGTTTATATTTAAGAAACATGGTAAACTAGTTGACAAAATTTACGTATCTTAGAGAAAAACTCAGTTTGTTGAGATGGACAAGGCAGGATTAGCCTTCTGACTCACAGAAGGCAACACGTGCTATAACGTGAATGTTAGTAAGAGCCCACTGCCATGAATACTTAGGTACTTGGCCAGCTCCTGACCTAAGAGACACACAAAGCCACAAGAAACAAACAAAATACCGCAGGAATAACAAAAACCCCATTCCTTATTGTAGCTTTATTTCTCTTCTGTTATTTCAGACTCCGAGTACATCTGGCACAGTGCTGCGTTAGGGCGACATACAAAAGCATCAGTTTCACGTCCCAATTCTGTTAACTGTTCCAATGAAGACACACACGGATAATGGTCCTTTAACATATCTGGCAATTTAGAAGTCTTCTCTTGAAGACGTCGAGAACGTCTAACTGGTGTTAGAAACTTCAGCTCTTTAAACATGGAATTTGTTTCATCAAACTGTATCTTCTTTTTTATACTAAAAAAAAGAAAATTATTCCCAGAGTTTAAAAATGTGAACATTTTTACTTTGGACTTTTATGCTATTTATCACACTATAACTTGTATGTTACAACCACATGATTGCTTGTCTTAGAGAATGCAAGCTCCTTGGAAGTCAAGAACTTACTCTTTTTCTCTATTTGTTGCTACAATTTGTACACAGTAGATTCTTGAATATTTGTAGAATTGGCTAATTGCTCAATTCCAAAAACTACTGTTACCAATAATACACAGAAATTAAACTAAAATTATTGATATAAAAGTTTTTTCCCCCAAAATGGCAATATTTAGGGAAAAGTAGAGCAAACACAGTATTTAAAAGGTGAAATGTCCCAATGACATTTGATTTGTTTGAAACCTTTCTATTAACAAATGATAGTTCTAATTGCAAGTTATCTTAAAGATTTTACAATACCATGTTTATTATCCCTAAGCACAAAAACAAATCACAACACATTACATTTTAAAAGTTTACCTTTGCAAGTATGGCGTAGCAGACACATTATATTTAATTAAGCAACTCGCCCTCGTTTCTGTATTGGGGGTTTTAACATCATTGGTTGGATCTTTTGTTTTGTCACCTTGCTTTTTTTCACAATCTTGAAACACCACATTTCTATGATGTCTATTTTCCATTTCCAGTTTTCCTGACTCTAGATTAACATCTATATCATCAATGTTGACTTCTTGGATTTGTTCCTTGGTTGCACAAGCCTCTTCAATATTTTCTCCTATAGAAAAACATTTACAGATTAAGTTTTTGGTCAAATTTAAAGGACAAAATTAGAAGACATTCAAGTTATTCATAGTTGGCCAGATTTTCAAAATAAAAGAACATAACTGCCATCTCCTAGCCACTACTTTTCCTCAGCAACTGCTGACAAGTATTTAACAAATATTTACTATCTCCTATGTGTCAGGGATTACAGATACAAATATAAGAATGACATCATCCCTGTCCTTTAAGAAGTTTATATTCCACAGAACAGACATGCTTGAAAATAATTAATTATAAAATGAGAAAAATGCTATAATTGAGGTAAGAACAAAGGGTTATGGGAACCCATAAAAAGGAATAACTAACTTTGCTTGTGGGACAGGGAGATGGCTAGGGAAGGCTTCACAAGTACAGTTATGCTGGGTCTTGAAAAATAAGCACTTGACAAGACCAAGGAAGACAATCTTGGTGTGAAGCTTAAAACAAAATGACCTAGTAAAACAACATTAAAGGGCTAGTGTGTTTAGAATATAGGGTAAGGAGTGAAGTGGAAATGCAGAGAGGAGGAGATGAGTTCAGACAGGTAGAAGGGGCTGGACTACGATGAACTTTATATGCAAGAAGTTTGGTAAAAAAAAAATTCACTGGAGAGACAGAGATACAATTAGGTTTGGTTACCATAAAGGATGGTTTAGAACGGCAGGGAATGACAAGTAATGATCTGTGATGGTAAGAAGACACAACTGTTTTAATAGTCTCAGCAAGGTGGCAGAGGCAGGCGGTAAGGAAGGGCCCGATATTTAAGAGTTATTTCTGAGTTAGGACTTCATAAATAAATGATGCATGTGTATGTCTGAATGAGTGTGCATGTGTATTAGGGGTATCCCTTCTAAAATTTCTTGCTGAGGAGTCTTTAATAACAGAGGAGGTTATTTTTTTCCTTTTTTGGTGGGGGGAGAGAGGAAGAGATGGTGGTATGGGGAAGCAGTGAAGGAAGACAAAGAGTTTGAAATAAAACATGTTAGATGTGAAATATTTGAGACATCCTGGTAAATCCACTGAGCTGAAAAGACCTCTAGATTTGATTATTAGGAAATTATTAGATTTTTACTTAATGATGTTTCAGTTACATGATAAATGTGAACGTGGTTCTTTTAGTAAGGGCAAGTTGAAGTGGGGAGAGAGGGAATATCGATTCATTAATTCAACAAATATTCAAGTGCCTAATATATGCCCGGCATGGCATTAGTACTGGGGATATAATGGTGAGGAAGATCAGACACAGTGCTTGTCCATCGAGTTGGTCGTTTAAGACAAGACAAACAAGTGCATCAAGTATTGCACAGAGAAAAAACAGGGAGCACAAAGCAGGTGCATCTGATCTAGCTGGGTGAGGAAGAAAGGTGGACACCAGCGAAAGCTACCCCAAGGAAGTGACATTTGGATTGATGTCTAAAGGATAAGTAGGAATTAGGTTAAAAATATAAGACTGGCTTGGAGAGACCCAGGGGCAAGAGAGATCATATAGCCCCTTCTAAGAAATAAAAGTAAAGAAAGAAATTCAGGGATGTGGAGGAGAGGGAGAGTGACAAGAAGAGGCTGGAGTCAGGAATTTAAGCAGGTGAGTGACGGGGCATTTGGGCTGCAGTGTTGAGGACGGATTGAAGCGGGAGCAGAGAAGCAGGAAACTCAGTTAGGAGGCTACTGCTGTAGTCTAGGTAAGAGCTGTGGGTGATCCTGACTATAGTAATGAGAGTAAGGATGGGGAGAAGCAGGTGGATTTTAAGAGATGCTTAGGAAGTTAAACTGAATTTGATTGGCTGGGGAACACAGACGGGGAGGTGGGAAAGGGAGAGGAAGTGAAATAGAACCCCAAAATTTCTGGTGTGGAGAACACAACAGTGTCAGTCATTGAGATAAGGAACCAAAAGAAGGATAAGGTTTAGGGACAAATGATGTACTCAAGTTTGGATATGTGGGATTGAGGTATCTGAGAGACACCCAAGTGATGCTTGTCTCTTATTATTTGTCTTATATTTCCCAATGATGTTTTCTTGCTGTTTACAAATAATTTTAATTTATAAAATTGATTTTATGTCTAGAACTTATAATTACACATTTCAGAAGGCCAAGAGTTTATAGATAGCATTTCTTTTTCCATCTAAAGACAAATATTCTACCTGCTAGAAAAGATTCCACTAACTAATATTATTCTACTAAGGAAAAATAAGATAGAATAACTGAATCAGATTTAAATACAGTCATACATTCTTAATGACAGGGAAATGCATCGTGAGGCGATTTCATCGTTGTGCGAACATCACAGAGTGTACTTACACAAACCCAGATGGTAGAGCCCACTACACACCTAGACCATGTGGGACCACCATCATATATGTGCTCTGTCACTGACCAAAACGGTTGTTATCTGGCACATAACTGTATTGGTTTTCTCTTTTCACATATCTCTAGATCTCTCTCTCTAGAGCCAGTGAGAATTATGAGGAAGAAGGTTCTTTTTACGAAATTCTTATTTCCAGTTTGCTGTCTTCAGCACTAAGACACAGGATTGGGGTTTTTTTTTTTAATTTTTAAAAATTTAGGTATAATTGACATAACATTAATTAGTTTCAGGTGTACAACATAATCACTGGATATTTGTATATACTGAGAAATGATCACCACAATAAGCCTAGTTAACATCTGTCCCCACACAGTTAGGAAAAAAAAATTTTTTCTTGTGATGAGGACTTTTACGATTTACTCTCTCAGCAACTTTCAAATATGCAATACAGTATTACTAACTAGTCACCATGCTGTACTTTATGTCCCCATGACTTATTTATTTTATAACTGGAAGTTTGTACCTTTGGATGCCCTTCACCCATTTTCCCAGGTGGGGTTATTCTTAAACCTTTCTCCTCCTTTTGTTTGTGGCATACTAGTCTTTCCTGGTTCTTCCTCCTGTCTCCTTGACTATTCCTTCTCAAGCTCCTTCATTAAATACAACCAGTAAGATCAGATCATATAGATCTTCTCTATGTGCCCCTGGGGCATATTAACAGCAACCATAAACTGAAATATTCTCTGTTGAACTAAACATACTGCCAATAGAAGCACGACCCCCTTGCACACAGATAAGCCGTTAGCATTTTAACCCCACTGAACAGTTTTTATTGGTAACATGTAACCAAAACTTAACACATTTAGAATTTCAGTGTGATCTTTGATTTTATTTAATGTTTAGCCCTTGACCTAGATCTCTATATTTTAAATTCATGTCGTGTACTTAAATAAAATAAGGATACTTCTAACTATTCTGGAAAGCAGTTTGGCAGCATATATCATGAGCCTTAAAAAATTCACACTGTTTGACTCTTCTTAAAACTAATCAAAAGAAAATAAGCAGATACAAGTATAGATGGTATATAACAGGTGCTCAAATATTTGTGATTGGGTGATATATAGAGTTATAGTAAAAAATTGCAAATAACTCTAGACAAGGAAACAATTTAGCTTACACTTATAAGTAGTGATTTCTCCTTTCATCTAAGCTAATTAATAATGGCTAAAGTTAACGAACTTACTATGTGCCACAGATGTGACAGTAATATACATTATTTCATTCAATGGTCCCAACGATCTTGAGGAAGATCTTAACATTATCCCATTTTACAGATAAGGAAGAGGTTAAATTTCTTGCAAAAGGTCACAGTAATTGGCACAACCTATATCTGAATCTAGAAAGTGTTTACATTTTATATACCTGATAGTTAACGAATCTCTTATCTCATTTTTATCTACTATCCCTAGCAAAGAGAATTCCTGAATAAGCTTCGCTAGAGCACAGAACAGATGATAGAATTTAATAGGTAGCAAGTCTTTAGAGATTATGTAGTCAAACTGCTTTACTTTTAAGACAGGAAATTAAGGCCTAGAGAGGTAAGGTAACTTTCACAGACACTCAATGACAAATTTGGGTTTGAACCAGACCTCCAAATTAAAAATTCTTTATAGTACACAAAGCCACCGAATCTCAGAGGTACATCAACAGATGTATGAGGAAAGAAATAACCTACGTATTTAAAAAGTCAAAAAAGATAAAAGAAAAATAATTCAGCAAAGAAATTTAATAAAATCACAATTCACTTACCAAATTTAACTTTTTCTTGACTCTTCATTGTTAGAATATCTGCAATTGCATGTCGCATCTCTTCCATAGGCTTAATTTTTTTAAATGAAGAAAGCAGACCCATATAAGTTTTATATTCTCAGACATTAAGTAGGTTGTTCAAGTTGAAAATATTAAAACCAGTGATTAAATTCCATATTTTAAGACAAGGCAATGGTTCTTAGACCATGTTTCTTAGAACACTTATTCTGCCACTCAAATGGAAAAAATGGCTGTCTTCTAATCTATAGAATAAAATTGAACTTAAGGGATAGACTTTCTCAGTTTAAATTTTTTCCCTGTAATTTTTCTTAAGCCTTTGGTAACTATTACTGCTTGCTTGATACGAACAAAATTAATGAACAAGTAGCAAATTAACATTATTAATATCTATTCAAGAGCTAATCATATTAAGTTTACTTTAAATTCATATTAAGTTTACTCCTTTTCTCTTACATTTAAGTCCATGGTTGTACTTTGGTTTCACATGCTATTAAATGCATCTCTGAATAGCTCAAGCTTGATCAGCTTAACATATTTCACTCATTCAAAAACTCACCAGTTCACTAAGTGTCCATTATATTCCAGATCAGACGCACTTACTATGTTCCTTTAAACTACCATGCCTACTAATGTATCATATTCAAGATATTATATAAAGGAGAAGCCCTGGCTCATAGTCTTAGTTCTAGAACTTAGTCCTGGACTACTTACACATCCTGCCTTCCATTTTCTTGGCTAATTTTGATCTGTTTTCCAATTTCCGCTCCGGTGTCACATCTTTCTCTTTGCACTACTGCTTTCTGTGTGAGCCCTGGGTCCAGTTACGCATCCTAGCTACGCTGCCACAAGCCTCCCTGAGTAACCTCTCCTCTGGTTCAACGCAGTAGGGACCTAAAACTCCCTTCCAGGAGTGCTTCTGTCAAACACAATTACTCCTCAGCAAAGTGTTTTACACATAATAGCCACTGAGATAATATCTGCTGAATATTTGATTTTTTGATTCAGGTGAAAGGCCAAATAGCATTTGTTGGCTTTGCTGAGGATAAAGTAAACAGACAATTCTTATGGAAAGGCTAAAAAGAAGAATTTTTTTAAAACTCACTTCATAAAGAATCTCCAAGAGTGCATTTTTGAGAAACTTGGTCAAAAGGAAACACATTTTAGGAACATTTGCCCATAAAAACCAACCAAACCAAAAAAACATCAAGATACAATTTATTTACACCCAGGGCTTTTCGTAGCAACAGACTAGGAAGAGGTGAGAGGCACGGTATTAAACCCCATGGTGGTAACAATGTCCAAGAAACTGGTTCATTGCCATTTTCTATATGTGGGCAGGACCAAACATAGGGCATATAAATATGAGTACATTAAGATCCACTCCTAAAGTGAAGGAGAGTTGTCTCACAAAGCCGTCAGAGCTTGCTAACATTTAAAAGTTAATATGATTTCGTTTGCTTATATTCAATAAATTTTAACGTTAAAAATTCAGTTTCCCTTGGGCCAGCCCCGTGGCGTAGCGGTTAAGCGCGCGTGCTCCGCTGCTGGCGGCCCGGGTTCAGATCCTGGGCGCACACCGATGCACCGCTTGTCAGGCCATGCTGCGGCGGAGTCCCATATAAAGTGGAGGAAGATGGGCACGGATGTTAGCCCAGGGCCAGTCTTCCTCAGCAAAAAGAGGAAGACTGGCACGGATGTTAGCTCAGGGCTGATCTTCCTCACACAAAAAATTCAGTTTCCCAGTAGATTTTTCAACTAGGAAATGTGCTACATGATGTGGTGTGCTAAAATATTTCTCACGACAGGTTGCATTAAAAGTACATTTCAGCTTATATCCATTTTCTAAGGTTTGATTATTCCTAGTACATGAGCAAGTTTTAGGAGGTTGAGAAGCAGCTTTTATCATATGCAATCCTTGTGGCCTTTAAACATTCATTACTATTACATATATAACCACAGTTTTATCAAGTTATGCTGAATCACTTACACTGTAATAATAGAGATCAGTAAGTTTTAATCTCACCTGAGCTCCTGCCAGAATGGCCTCCTCATAGATTGCAATAATATTTTCAATAGGACTTGTGAGCGGTTCAATACGTGCAAGGCATATCCAATATTTAACAAGTTTTTTGGCATCTGGAATATTTTTAATCAGGTCATTCAGTGTGACCAATATTTCCTCTCTTGGGCATCCCTAAAATAGCAAGAAACCAAGTGAGTGATATCTTTTAGCCTACAAACTACGAACAATTAAGTAAGCTTACTATAATCAAGATCAATGATAGAGAAAAAGTTGATAGAAAATTATTCATAAAAATATTCACTAATATCCTTCTTACTCCAAACTTATTCTGAATGGTTAGCAAGAAGCACATCAATCATGAGTATAAGGCAGAAAAAAATCAAATACCAGCTCAGAAAAATATTAGCAAAAAATGACTAACACTCTACTTGGTCTTGTTGTTTATCCTCATATATTGTGGGATTCCGTTTGTTAATACTTTATTTAGACTTTTTGCATCTACCAAATGTTTAATGGGTGAGAATAGCTTGCAGGGGTTTTTAAAAATTGTCTTTGTCAGGGCCGGCCCCATGGCTTAGCGGTTCAGTGCGCGCGCTCCGCTACTGGCAGCCTGGGTTCGGATCCCAGGCACGCACCAATGCACTGCTTCTCTGGCCATGCTGAGGCCACGTCCCACATACAGCAACTAGAAGGATGTGCAGCTATGACATACAACTATCTACTGGGGCTTTGGGGGAAAAATAAATAAATAAAAATTAAAAAAAAAAAATTGTCTTTTTCAGGTTTTGATATTATTGGTAATAATGGTTTTTAAAAATTGCCTTTGTCAGGTTTTGATATTATTTGATATTAAGGGTAAAATGAATCTGGAAGGGTTTATGTAAGTAAGAAATATATATAGTTAAACAGTAGGGCAGGAAAATTCCCTAGCATCAACAAAAACTCCAGTTGAGCAGGATATAAGAATAGAACCAGAGTTTCTCTGATTGTAGTTTTCACTGGTCATCAGAATCACAAAAATTTAAAGATGCTCATGAAGACTAGAGTAAGGTTTGAAATCACAGTCTATATAATTCAGTCTTGCTATGGATCTTAGACACTAGTGGGTGACCAAAGGAAAATTAAAGAGTAGTCAGAAAATAAAGGAAACATTCTGGAGTTGATTATTATACTCCATAGGATTTTGGTCCAAACAGTAGAACTCTACAATAAGTTCAAGACCATAATGATGTTGGTTTAGATTAATGGGATTCTGTTTGCAAATATTTTAGTTAACTTGAATGTAATCTGTGATAACAATGACTCACTAATCTGTGTTGCTAGTCTTTAGTAAAATATGTAATGAGTGGAAAAAATAATTTGTAAATATGTTGAATGAATGTAAGAAACAGAAATATCAGTGAATTTCCACCCCTAGCCCACTGTATATATTAACTTTAGAGGAATACAATATTTATAACTCAAGTAAAAAATCTAATGATCCCTTTGATATATTTACATGAACAATGAAAATGCAGTCCATAAAAGGCTCAAGAGAAACAATCTCACAATTAACATTAAGTCTACATAACACCACTGACACATCACTTGGTCAAAAACAACTGACAACATAATTTAATGAGATAATGTTTATGAAGGTAATTTGCAAACTATAAACTAGTACATAAATATAAGATAAAGACTCTACCTCATTAATCAGGTTTAGGCATTCAGAAAACGTCTTGTTTACTTTCTCAGTAAATAACCGTTGCTCATCTTCTTCTGCCATGGTAGTCCAAAAGGACCCAACTGGTCTTTCACTTTGTTCTCTGGGCTCAGGCTGGGTAACTACTGAGCTGGGAGGCCTTTTCAGCACTTTTCCTTTACTAGCTTTCCACTCATTCAGACGAGCTCTATAGTTAGAAGCAGGATATAAACATTACTGTGATACTGATTATAGAATTCTGTCAAATAGAGGAAAAGTTAAAAAATTTCAGGTCTTGGGCGGGCCCTGTGGCTTAGCAGTTAAGTGTACGCGCTCCACTACTGGTGGCCCAGGTTCGGTCGGATCCCGGGCGCGCACCGACGCACCGCTTCTCCAGCCATGCTGAGGCCGTCCCCCACATACAGCAACTAGAAGGATGTGCAACTATGACATACAACTATCTACTGGGGCTTTGGGGGAAAAAAAAAAAGGAGGAGGATTGGCAATAGATGTTAGCTCAGAACTGGTCTTCCTCAGCAAAAAGAGGAGGATTAGCATGGATGTTAGCTCAGGGCTGATCTTCCTCACAAAAAAAAACAAAAAAATTTCAGGTCTTTAAGTAGCTCCATGCCAGTGGCACATACGCAGTTCACAGTTAATTAAAGAAAAAGAAATATTGAACATATCAATGTTAATTATATGCTCAAAGACCCCAAGAATGCAATTTTAAATAGAGAGGTTATAAAATATTTCCTTTTTTTTTTTTGGTAAGGAGATCAGCCTTGTGCTAACACCTGCCAATCCTCCTCTTTTTTTGCCAAAGAAGACTGGCCCCGGGCCAACATCCGTGCCCATGTTCCTCCACTTTACATGGGACGCCACCACAGCATGGCTTGACAAGCGGTGCATCGGTGCACGCCTGGGATCCGAACTGGCGAACCCTGGGCCACCGCAGCGGAGCGCGCACACTTAACCGCTTGCGCCACCGGGCTGGCTCCAATATTTCCCATTTTTATTAAGCATTTTAATTTAGATTATATAAAACAACCTAATAAAACGCACTCAAGCACAGTAACTTAGATCATCGTGTTCCAAATTATAAATTTGCTTAAATCTGTCTGCATATGACAGAAGAAAATCCACACACACAAAATTCGAATAATACATTCAAGAAAATTATAAGCCAAATTCACAAATGGTACTCTATTGAAAATTAAGCAAATAAAATTACATCTACTTACCTTCTCTCTTCTGCGGTTTCTTTGGGCTGAGTCGATCTACTATCAACAGCTGCTTTTGCTATAGTATGTCTGCGCTGGTCAGTGGTTTTTGACTTTTCTATCGGTTTCATATTGGAAGATGAAGCAGGCCTGACCACAATTTCAGAAGTCATGCTTCTTGGCAGTGTCTTACTTCTTTTTACATCCTGAGAAGAACTGGTTTTGACACTGGATACAACTGTATTTGGTTTTAATAATTCTTTCTCATGAGGCCCTTTCTGAAAGGTAACATTGGCAGAGGTTCTACTGATGCCCTGTCTCATGGTGTTCTGGGTATTATCATGGCGACTTCTAACAGGAGGTCGCACAAGTTGTCTGTTCTGGGATGTAGTGTTCACAAACTTAGTGGTAGTCGTCAGATTTGAGGCTTTATCACTGTCCACTGGGACACTGCTGGTGCTGACAGGCTGAGGCTTAGCAGCTCTAGAGACAGTAGCTGTAAGTTCCTTTGTTGTTGCAGAACTCACATCTTTGGCTTGTAGAGGTTTTCTAAATGAATTAATCTTAGACTGAACAATTTGGCCACGATAAGATCCAAGCACATGTTTCTTGGGCATGTTAGCATCTTGCTTTGGTTTTTCTGTAGTCATTTGTTTCTTTTTACTATTGTTTTTGAAGTGAAATGCTTGGCTTAATGTCATATGTTGACTTTGGGTATCATCTTTAACTGGTAACAACTGCAGAGTTTGATTATTACTCTCAAAATTATGTGAATCAGTTGCTATAGTTGAATTGGTTAATTCATTAGAAGGTTTTAAAGGAGTACAATTTTTTTCCATTGTTATATTATTTTTGTTCCCTGTGGGTCCACTGACATTTTCTTTATCAGCCTACAAGAATTATTGAAGACAAATCAGTATTTCAGAACTGATTTCTTTCAGAAAGAGTTTAGGAAAGGGAAAGGGACAGTTTATGAGGGCTATGCCCATGTCTTACCATTTTTGTTTTAAGTTTCAGAGCTGTTGTCCCTTCTCGGACCTGGCCCTCAGATGTCATCACTTTCTGGTCTCTATAACTTAAAAAAAAAAAAAAATTAACCCTGTACCAAGGAAGTTTCTTTTTTGAGAGAAGGCTATTAACAATTACCTGACTGTGTAATTTTAAATTGAGGCAAGAACTGTGCTGAGATTTATTTGTCCTAAGCAAAACTTTTCTCTATTATAGGGTGATTTAATAATGTAAACAAGATGGCTGAGGAATTGCAAGATATTTTCTTAAAGGTCTTAACACTCTCCCCCCACAGGATATATAAACACTTGATAATCTCATTCCAAACCATTCTTCTCTAGTCATTCAAAAAAGTCTTCATAAATTTTTATTAAGACACTTTCTTTGGTTAGTTTTAAGTACTTAGTAACAGATTTACATTGAAAAAAATTTAAAAGTAGATCTTCCAAAAAAAAATCCAAAATTTTCCATATGTACACTCACAGCTTAATTTATCAAGAAGATGGACTTTAGTTTCTAGATGGCATTGCATTTAGAATATATATCCAAAGCAAATGCTTCCTCAAGAATTTGACCTAAACTCTTTTTCAAAGACATAGACTGGTTAGTACAGGCCGAGAGAATCTCTTGGCAAGTGATTATGATGATTCTGCATTCCATGAAGAAAGGAAACAACAGGGTCAATTAGACATGCCATTGATTCTAAGACAGATCCCAAGTTCAAAGATGTTAAAATGTGAAAAAACGGACATTTTAGAGTCAACAAAATTTGATATCTCTGTAGTTGATAATTTTGGTTACGGTGCCTTTAACATCTATTTGCTCAGTCTGCTTGGAGAAAGGGCAGAACTTTGACACAGGTTGTACTACACATTTTGAATGATGGCAGAGAAGGTCAAAACATGACACTTAACAAGCTATCTTCTGAGTGTAGGTGCTTCCTATTCCTCCCAGGCATTGCCAGTCGCCCAGAGTATAGCAGTGTCTCCCCAGTTTAAGCTCCTGCATCCACTACCTGACGGCGAAAACTTGTCTCGTTATTCCCTGGCCTGTCTGCTGTTGCGTGGGAGGAGATGATGCTCACAACCTGCCAGGTTGCCCGCAATGTGGTACCTCAACTAATCAGGCTCCCTATTGATCTCAGCTTCTATTACTTCTGGGCTTACTGTAGACTAGGATGTTATCTCACTGAGAAAATCAGAAGTAATCTTAACAAGAATTAGCCTATCTTTCCTCCACCAAAGACTACCAACCTATCTGCCTCTGTATCCATATATTTTGCCTTCCCCCTAGTCTAATGGATAAACTGACACCATGCTGATCTAGGGTCAAACTCACCATTTGTGCTCTCCCTCTTCCCTTCTCAGGGACTTTTTCCCTGTGATTATCTGCTCATTCTTTTCCACCATTAACTTGTTTCTCTACTAGGTCATTCCCATCAGCATACAAACACTATGTATTACACCTCATCTTAAAAAGCTTTAAACCTCACATTCCCTTGCAGCTACTGCCTCATTTTTCTTTTCTTTATAGAAAAACTCCTCAAAAGGAGATATCTATACACACAGTCTCCACGTGGTCACATTCCATTCTCTCCTCAGCCTATGCCTAGCAAGAATTTGCCCCTACCACCCTACTAAAACTCCTAACGCCATTCACTTCCACATTTCTACAACTCATGGTCAATTTCGTCTTCATCTTACTGAACCTTTCAACAGCACTTGATACAGGTAGTCATTCTGTCTTTAAACACTTTCTTCATTTTGCTATTGGATCACCAACTCTTCTACTTTTCCTCCTACCTCAGTGGTCCACTTCTTTTAAGTCTCTCTCTCTTCCTAACCTTGCGGCTCAAAGCCGCATACAAATTTTAAACTTTTCTTCTGCCTTTTTAGTTTTATACTTCTCAGGGACTCCTCTTTTTCTGTCAGTGTTAACAGAATTCTAGTGCTTAGTCTTGAAATTGCTGGCCTTTCTAACCGCTAGCTAAAAATCTCAGGATGATAAGAAGAATCCACTTATTCACCTGTTCAGTGTGAAGACTTATAGGAAAATATATAATCCTATTCTGTCTTGTTAAGATAAAATTGCCCTCAAGGGTTATCTGAACAAGGAGTCTTAAAATACACTAGAGGGGGCTGGCCCGGTGGCATAGTGGTTAAGTTCGGGCACTTCGCTTCCTGGGCTGGGGTTTGTGAGTTCGGATCCCAGGCGCAGACCTATGCACCGCTATCAAGCCATGCTGCGGCAGGCGTCCCACATAGAAAGCAGAGGAAGATGGGCATGGATGTTTGCCCAGGGTCAATCTTCCTCAGCAGAAAGAGGAGGATTGGCAACAGATGTTAGCTCAGGGCTAATCTTCCTCACCAAAAATAAATAAATAAATAAATACACTAGCGATTGTAAACTACTACTGTTTAATTTTGAGAAGCTGCAACTCTGATTGGTTGTCTATTTAATAATTTGTTGCTCAAGCAATAATATTTAAACCGACATCTGTTTTTCAAAAGGATTAAATACCGTACTTGTGAGGTTTCTTGGTAAAGCCAGAAAAGAGTTAAAAAAAATTTTTTTCTTCTCATTGTGTATAAGAGTATTACAAACCTCATGACCCAGTTAGATTCCTTATTTAAATATGTAGTTAAGAGTCACTGTCTTATTTAAATTAATATTCTCTGCTTACTCTCTAGTAATCTCATTACACCCTAAGGTTTTAAATAATTATCACCTACACATCGGCAATTCCCAAGTTTATACCTCCAGTCTAAATCTCACCCCCGAACTTCAGATACATAACTATTTGGCATCTCCAATTTGGATGTCTTACTGGTACCTCAAACTTAACATGGTCAAAACAGAACTCTTGATTCCCCTACTCCTCTCTCAGTCTTCCCCATTTCAATACACAGTGTCACTATCCACTCAGTTATTCAAATCAAAAGTCTAGGATCATCCTTTTGTCTTAAAGAAATATGCCATCTGTGAAAGAAAATCTTTACTCCAAAGTAAAGCAACTTATTAATGTAAAGTTAAAAATTAACATATAAAGTTACAAAATTATAAATATTTCAGAGAATATCCATATACTCTTTCCCCAGATTTGCCTCTTGTTAACATTTTATCCCATCTGCATTATGTGCACTCTTTCTAAACATGTGTGTAGAGCATATACAATTTTTTACCTGAACCTTTCAAGTTAAGTTATATACATGATGGCCCTTTACCCCTAAATACTTCAGTGTTTATTTCCTAAAAATAGAGATTTTCTCTTACATAACCACAGCACAGTTATCAAATTCATAAATTTACCTTGATACACCATCTTAATCTATTGTCCACATTCTATTCAGAAAACTGACCTAAAAATGTCTTTTACAGCACTTCCCCCTTCTACTTTAGGATACAGTGTAAGGGGTCAGGTATTGAATTTAGTTGTCACATCTCTTTAGCCTCCTTTAATCTGGAATATTCAGGATCATCTTTAACTCTTCTTTTTTTTACATCCCATATCTAACCCATCACCAAGTCCTGTCAGCTCTATCTCCTAAATATAAGTAAAATCTGACACTTTCTACCATGAGGAAGGGTAGGAAGCACTCATAAAGACAAAATATATCAATAAGTAAAGTACCTAACATAAAGAAATGCAAATTAAAACAAGATTTTTTTTTAACCCATGAGGATGGCAATGATCTTTGGAGGAAATCAGGGAAACCGGGAGAATAAAGTATTTCAAGAAACCGTCCACTGTGTGTAAAGCCACTTGAGAGATCAGGAAATGACAGCTACCACTTATTGGGCTCCTGCTATGTACCAGGCATGGCACAATGCATTCACTATCTCATTTAATCCCCAAGAAACATGTATTACTATCCCATTTCAATATAAGTAAACAGACTCAAAGAGGCCAAGTAACTCCCCTGAGGTTACATAGTTGTAGCAGCAGACTTACAGATTCCAGCTCAGGTCCCTATCACTCTGAAGCCCACGCTCTTCGACTGCACAAGAAGCACCTGGAAGGATGTTACTAGCAGTTATCTCTAGAGAGTGAGGGGACCCTTTGATTTTCTGCTTTATGTACATTCATGGGTTTTTGTTTCAGCCACAACCAGGTACTATTTTTTAAACTTTAACAAAATAATACAAAAATATTCCTATGGAGGGTTGAGACTAAAACAAATGGTCTCCAAACATTTGGGAGGGCTACCTCCCAAAAAACAAGCCCCCTCCTCCCAACTGAGTAAAAACCTTGCTAAATTATAGAAAGACTGATGTTTTGTAGCACCGTATAAACTATAAGCCAATTGTTGGTATATACTCACACCATGCTTTAAAATTGTTTCCTCTTAGAGTGTGAATTAATTTACACAAGAAACAATGATCTAATGCTGTGCCATCCAATAAGGCAGCCACCAGCCACATGTGGCTATAAAGCACTTGAAATGTGGCTAGTCTAAATTGAGATTTTCCAAAAGTATAAAATATACACCAGATTTTGAAAACTCAGTACCCACCCAAAAATGTAAAATATCTCAGTAGTAATTTTTAAGTATTACATGTTGAAATGATAACATGGGATATACTGGACTAAATAAAATTTCATTAAAATTCATTTCATCTTTCAAAAAAACATTTTCGATGTGGCTACTGGAAAATTTTAAATTACATGTGTGGCTCATATTACATTTCTATTAGGCAGCTCTGATATAATTTTACAGATCTGAAATGAAAAAATTTGACCTTACCTGAATAATATCCGATTTTCCTGTTTGGATGCAAAAAAAGTTTTTCTTTTTAACAGATGCTCCTTGAGTTTTTGTCTTCTTTGTTCTAAATAACAAAAGAGCTACAAGTCAACGTTAATTACAACAATAGTATCAAATTAATATTGACTAAATGAAGATTTTACTTCGAAAAATGTTCTACGTGAGATCACACATCTTGTATATAACAGAAAATTTCCCAATTCAGTATTGCCTTTGAGAAATAATCCCATTTTTAAGAGATTGTTACCATAAAGGGTCCTCACAAGAATCACATTCTCTACTGTGTGGAAGTGAAAAATCTGGAGAACATCATTTTCAACATACGGTTACTGAAAGCCAAGCTTTAAGAAACTAAACTGTAGAGATGAGACACTAGACTACAAGTTCTGTCTAATTTACGAGAATTGGGTTGGGTGAGAATTTCTTTCTTCTGTTTTCCCATGTGTAGGACAGAGAAATAACAACATTACTTCTGAAGACCAGCCAATCCTGGATTTCCGTAAAGTCAAAGGCGAAGACGTTAAATTTGAAGCATCCGACGAGGCAATCCCATCCCTCCAGAAATTCACTCGCGTCTCAGGAGGGGGGAGCGCCTCGCGCAGGCGCAGTGGGCTCTCGCCGCAGATGCGGCCCCGCCCCCGCGAGCGCCGTACCCCGAACGCGGGTCCCAGCCTGAGTCCCGCACACGCCTCCTCCCTAAACCGATTCCTCCAGTGTAGGCCCGTCTCCGCCGCCAGTGGGCTACGCCCGCCAGTAGCGACCGCACGTTGGCGCTCAACCCGCACGCTAACACCACCGACCCAGCACCACTCTCCATTTCACAAATGCCAAAAATGTGGCTGCGAAAGGCCGAGAGACCCGTTCAGGCTGCTCGCACAACTGGTGAGGGCTGAGGCTGGTCTGCGGACCCAAGCCCCTGACCGCTGAGCCCCAGCCATCTCCCCCACGCCCGCCCCCCGCCCTCAGGCCAACCACCCGCCCGCCGCCTCGCGCGCTCCCGCCACCGCGGCCTCACCTCTGAACGCGGACTGGGCCCTCTGACTCGGGGGCAGCTGCAGATCGCAGGGCACGGCTGGGGTGCTCATCGCCGCTCGGCGCACAGCAGGCGTCTGCGTCTCGGCCGCCCCGACTCCCTCCAGCTGAGGCCGCCGCACACCCGGCTCACAGCCCGGGGCGCCCTTTAGGCGGCGCGGCCGCCGCCTCCGCCCATTTGCCCAGCGTGAATTGAATGGGCCAATGGGCGCAGGGGGGCGGAGCCTGGGCTGCGGTTGCCCGGGCGGGTCTTGTGTCTGCCGGATTCGGTTAGTGCCCTTTGGACTGAGTCCTTAGGTTTTCAAACTTAAACACCGCTCTTCGTCCTGGGCATGCAAGGGAGGAGTCGGCCTGCAGAGTCCCTGCTATGGAGCAGATAAGACTAGTCTTTAGACGCTCACAGTGCATTGAGGAAGGCGGACGAGAAAAGTGTTGTTTGGCTGCGCTTGTTAAAAATGGGCGTGGTCACTGAAGAGGAGGAAGCTATAATCGCTGACTACTGTACCGGGAGCATGTGTATTTCCCTTGCACAAATATTACTTCACTGCCGCATCACAGCTCTGAAGTGGGACTTTATCATCTCCTGTTTCACAGATGAGGTGACAGGTTCAGAAGGTATTTGTCCACATTTGCACAGCTTGCAAATGGGAACTGAAATGAGGGTCTATTTTCCTTTGTACTACACAATTATCAGATGCAAAAAAGAGGAGAGGAAAAGAAAGGGATAAAATGAGGCTAGACCGTTCCCTTATAATCCTCTTGTGAAGATAAAATAGCATTCGTTGCAGACATTTTGTGTTTGTGAGTTTGTGTGCTGCCATAATCTTTCAGTCCTCATCTAAAAATAGCACCTTCATAAAACCCTAGCAAACACCCAATCCACAAGACAAACGAAACAGCTCAGAGCTAGAAGGTTTTGGGGGGTGGCGGTGGGGGAAAGCTAGAGAGAGTTCTGGGCAGTGACTTTCTGTTTTTAAGCAGTGGGTTCCCAGCGTTTCTCTGTCTTGCCTGATCACTGAGTAAGGCTGGGCTGGACTGTTTCAGCCAGGTGTTAAGGATGGAGATAGAGACGGGAGGATGTAATTTCTGTCTCCCCTGCCCAGGTCAGAGGGCCTCACAGCTGGCTGTCAACTGTGGTCAGTTTTCCCCATCTTTCTCTGCTTTTTTCTTCGGACATCTTATGGTGGCATCTTGCTAATAAGGAAGTTAGTTTGAGATATTCTGTAGTTTTTTTTCTTAATGAAATGTCCCATTCTTAGTGTATCTTTGCCTGTACTTAAGGTCAACTCTGGGAGAACCAACAGCCAAACAGCACCCATCACCATCCCTAAGACATCACTGCTGTTTACATAGTACTGTTAATATTGTTAATTATTTACTAAAGTTTCAACAGACAGATTGGGTAACCAGGGATCCCCATTAAGTGACAGAGAACAGTTAAACAAAATAGAACAGTTAAAAAGTGACTCAAGAACCTCCAAAGCATTATGCTATGTGAAAGAAGCCAGCCACAAAAAGTCACACATATGGTATGATTCCATTTATATGAAATATCCAGAATAGATAAATCCATAGAGACATAAGACAGATTGGTGGTTGCCAGGGGCTGGGGGTAGGGGGAAGGGGGAGAGACCATTTAACAGGTTAGGGGTTTTACTTTGCAGTGATGGAAATGTTTTGGAACTAGGTTGAGGTGGTGGTTGTACAACATTGTGAATATATTAATGCCACGGAGTTGTTCACTTTAAAATGCTTAATTTTACGTTATGTGAATTTCAGTATTTTTTTTATAAGTGGGCATGGTGAAAAAAAGAAAGTGACTCAAAGAAAACCATGGAGATCTCAATAGACTGAGGTGGTGAGCAGGAAAACCTGCAAAACTGCTAGGTTTTCCAACGTGGCAATTCTCCCCTAATCTCCAGACTCACCCACTTGAAGACTGGTATCTTTTTAAGATACTTTTTTTATATCATCGTCCCACAATTGTTGGAGGGAAGGCATACTGTTTTCTAGAAAATTCAAAGAGAATACTTCCTTCCAGCTGTCTTTGCTAACACAGCTGACCATGAAATTGCAGCCACCTGGCGTATCGATGATCTGCTTCAGTTGTTTCTCCTGTGGTCACCTGGAACAGGGAAGGGCCTATGAGAGAACAGAGTGGGACGATCTAAGGAATAGAAGGAAGGCAAAGACAGGGTGAGGACACAAAGTCCAGGGAGGAGGAAGCCTCAAGAAAGAGGGAATGGTCCAGTCTTGGGCGCTGAAGACGTCTAGTAGGATTGGAACTGAAGGAGACCATTGGATTCAGAAGCTAGGAGGTTTTGGCAAAAACATTCTGTGGAAAAGTATGAAATATTGCTGAGAGAAATTAAAGAAACCTTAACCAAATGAAGAGATATAATATGCTTATGGATCAGAAGATTCTATATTGTTAAGATGTCCATTCTCTCCAAGTTGATCTATTCAGTCCCATCCCAATCAAAATCCTAGAAGGCTTTTCTATAGAAATTGACAATTGGATTCTAAAATTTAAATGAAAATGCCAAGGATCTAGAGAGGCAAAACAATTTTGAAACAGAACAAAGTTGGAGGACTAGCACTGCCTGATTTCAAGATGTATTATAAAGGCACAATAATCAAGATAGCGTGGTATTGGTGTAAAGAAAGACAAAGAAATCAATGGAATACAATAGAGATTCCAGAAATATACTCAAGCCTCTCTGGCCAGTTGATTTTCTACAGTTTCCAAGACAACTTAATGGAGGACAAGGATAATCTTTCCAACAAATTGTGCTGAGATGACTGGATATCCACATATGAAATATTAACCATAAGCCTCACCTCACCCCTTGTACAAAACAAAACTCAAAAAACACAAAAAAATAAAGCCCAAAATGGAACATAGAACTATATAAGGTCTTCCAATCCATAAGCATAATATATCTCTCCATTTAGTTAGGGTTTCTTTAATTTCTCTCAGCAATGTTATGCTCTTTTCCACAGAATGTTTTTGCCAAAACCTCCTAGCTTCTGAATGTAAAGAATCTAAATGTAAGAACCCAAACTATAAGACTTCTAGAAGACAATAAAGGAGAAAATCTCAGTGTTAGGCAAAGATTTCTTAAATAGGAGACTTTGTGTTAGGCAAAGATTTCTTAAATAGGAGACTTTGTGTTAGGCAAAGATTTCTTAAGTAGGAGACAACACGAGCTGTAAAAGAAAACACTGGATTTCATCAACATTAAACCTTTTGCTCTTCAAAAGGCACTTTAGAAAACTACAAGGCAAGCTACAGAGTAGGAGAAAATATTTGCAAAACATATTTCATGAAGGACTTTCATCCAGAATATAAAAGAACTCTTACAATTCAATTTTTTAAATGTGCAAAAAAATTTCACTTCACCGAAGAAGATATAGGAACTAAAAATAAGCACATGGAAAGATGCCTAACATCATCAGTCATCAGGAAAATGCAATTAAATTCACAATGAACTGCCACTCCACACTGAGGAACGGGGACTCTCATACACTGCTGGTAGTAATACAAAATGATATAGCTACTTAAAGAAAACGGTTTGGTAGTTTCTTATAAAATTAAATATGCACTTACCATATGATCCAGCAATTACTCTCCTGGGTACTTAACCAAGAGAAATGAAAACATACGCACGCGAATGTTTAGAGCAGCTTTACTCATCATAGCCCTAAGCAGAAAATAACCTAAATCTCCACCAGCTGATGAATGGATAAACAAATTGTGACATAGCCAGACAACTGACCACTCCTCAGCAATAAAAAGGAACAAACTACTGATAAATGCAACAACATGGATAAAACAGAAAACCTCAGTTTTTTCCTTCCTAAAGTAGGGAAAAACCCAGTTCTTTCCTACTGTGCTTCCTTCCTGTGTGTCTCCTTTGCTTTTACATAGAACACTTCACTTCTGACACTTCACAAGTGTGTGGAGGTTTTTTCCCCACAGCAAGCAATTCTCTGTGACACTAGCTGGATGTCCTATAATTTAACTCAATTCTAAAATCATCTATCTATTTGGAGATAGTGTCAGATCCCACAGGTTAAGGGCTCAGTCCCACAAGACTGTCATCCTACCACACCCACTTCAGATGCCAGTGGCAAGCCCAGGTTATCACCTGTGCTTCTGTCTGACCAGCTGTAGTTTGGAGGTTCCAAAGACCCCCTCCTTGGGTTCAATTAATTCACTAGAGCCGCTCACAGAACTCAGAGAAACACTTACTTACGTTTACCAGTTTATTAAAGGGTATTATCAAGGATAGAGATGAAGAACCAGGTGAAGAGATCCATAGGGCGAGGTCTGGGAAGGTCCCGAGTGCAGGAGCTTCTGTTCTTGTGGAGTTGGGCTGCATCACCCTCCTGGTGCAGATATGTTTGTCATGGAAGCTCTCTGAACGCCCTGCTATTGGGATTTTATGGAGGCTTCCTCATGTAGGCATGATCCATTATTAACTCTATTTCCAGCCCCTCTCCACTCTCTAGAGAAGTGGGGGAGGGGAGCTGAAAATTCCAAACTTCTATTCATGGCTTGGTCTTTTTGGTGACCAGCCCCCACCCAGGAGCCATCTAGGAGCCCAACCAGAGTCACCTCAACAGAACAAAAGAGGCTCCCAGTGCTCTTATCACTTAGGAATTTACAAGTGTTTTAGGAGTTCTGTGCCTGGAACCGACGGTAGAGACCAATATATATTTTCTATTATCTCACGATGGATGAGTCTCAAAAACATGGCTTTACAATTAAGAAGCCAGATACAAAGGACTACATACCTTATGGTTTCTTTTGCATTAAATTCTAGAAAAGGCAATACAATAGTGATAGAAAGCAGATCAGTGGTTCTTGGAGACCAGGAAGTAGGGAGAGGAATTAAGTGCAAAGGGGCTGAGGAAACTTTTTGGGGTGATGAAAATGTTCTATATATAATGACTGTGTTTATATGACTGTAGAGAAACCTCATCAAATTGCATATTTAAAAGCTGGTATGTTTTATTGTATGTAAATTATCCCTAAATAAATAAAAGAACCCAAAAGAGAGGAGGGAAGGAAGGAAGGAAAGAGGAAAGGAAGGAAAGAAGGAAGAAAG